GTGTATTTCACATCACCACATTTGTGACTAAAACAAATGTCTCTCCAGATTCCACATCCCTTACATTAAGACTGAAGCATTTTTCCTTCCATCTCTGCAGTTCCCCCTGAAGTGACCCTGTTTCTAAGCAGGAATAGAACTGCGGTGTGCAAGGCAGTAGCAGGGAAGCCAGTTGCACGCATCTCCTGGACCCCAGAGAGGGATGATTGTGACACTAAGGAAGACTGTTTGGCCAATGGCACAGTGACTGTCCAGAGTACATGTGCCTGGGAGGACCTCAATGTGACTACTGTGACCTGCTCTGTCTCCCATTTGACTGGTAACAAGAGTCTGTGCAAAAAGCTGCCTTCTGGTTAGTAAATCTAGTTTTTTTTTATTTTTTCATTCTTTCTGAGGAGTTAGAAGGAAACAGAACGTGCAGAGAAATTTTGTTTGAGGATGATTTCTCTACCCTCTACTTTATCTCCCTTTTACCCACAATAAAGAGATATGTATAAAAGAAAAATACACTAATTTGTGGTAAAAAGCCTTATTTTGGAATGTAGCTTATTCTATGTTTTAATATTCACTTCTATACTGTCAGTTAATTGGCATCAATAGCATACTTTTGAAAGAATCCTTAGGGTTAATGGAAAGATAAAGTATAATTTGAAACAAGTACTTAAGGCTTTGCCAGAAGAATAAAGTCACTCAGACTTTGCCTTCCTGCACTTTTAGATTGCCAGACTTTTCTCCTCCAGGCTCTTTCTGGGGGAATTTCTTCACTGTCTTAAGTAACGTTTATGATTGAGTTCATCATTGCTTCTAGTCTTCATTCTCTACTCTGATCCAACTTTCATATCTTGGTATTTAAAAAGCTTACACATTCATTTGATCCACATATACATAGTTGAAAGTCAAATTGCTTCATCAGACTCTGTGAAAACATCAGCTCTACCCATGCTTTCCCCACCCTACCTCTCCATAGTCACTCATTCAGCTTCCTAGAGGCAGGTCCTGTGAAACTGATGATCATTTCTTCTCGCAATTCATTCTATTTTTCTAAATAACATGCTCCTGCTTATTTCTTACTGTATGAAATTTATATATCATATACCCACTTCTTACAGTGATGTAGATTTAAAAGTACCATCTTCCGTATGCTCAGACGTGGGATTGAGTGACATACCCATTTTTATAAGATTAAACAGCCAGTGTTCACATTAATTTGAATATGTAAGTATTATTAAGTGCTGAATCAGGGAATAAACTTACACTTTCTCTTTTGAATAACTTTTGTTTTTCTTGGATTTCATAATTCTTTTACTTTTTTTGTTTCCTCCAAAATGTATGTACCTTTTGTGACTTCTCACTAAGCACATTCACAAACCTGAGAACCCCTTTGTTATGTTTTCCATGTGGTCAGTTCCGCTGGGTAATATGTCACTTCCGTGGAGTTGTTCCATGCTCTCGGCCTATTCTGTCCTGGTTGGTCTCAGACACACTGAGCAGCAAATTGTCCTGGACGTTGTTTTTGCCTCGATCCTCTGCTTAGTTCTAGAC